CCAGCCTGGGCTACCAAGTGAGCTCCAGGAAAGGCGCAAAGCTACGCAGAGAAACCCTGTCTCGAAAAACCAAAAAAAAAAAAAAAAAAAAAAGCCCGACGTGATGGCTCACACCTTTAATCCCAGTCCCCAGGAGGATCTCTGAGTTGGAGGCCAGCCTGGCTGATATAGTCAGTCCAGGACAGCCGGGGCTACAGAGTGAGACCACTGTATAACCTCGGCAAGTTCAAATCTCGGTTTCTAAAAAAAAAAAAAAAAAAAAACCAGGGCCCACCAGCAATGATTCAGTCTGTGTGATCCCAAGGAGTCCCGGGTTAGCGTTCCATTTCAATGAGCCATTATGACTGGGGCAGTAGCGGCTGTCACACAAATCACGGCCTAACAGCCTCAAGGAAGCGGCTTCTTCCAGACCAGAGTTCTTTACTTTCCACAAAAGACTGTCTTTTCAGACGCCCAGGATTTCTGTGTGCTGACACTTTCATTCCCACAGGCACAAAGCCGAGGAATGTGAATCCTCCGCGAGACGGTTAGCTGGTGTGGATCAGGGCAGCACTTCCTGAGAAGACACAGGCAGAAGGGACCCAAGAGGTCCGGCCCGTGAGCTTGCCTAATGCCCCAAGCAACCGCTCCTTTTATGGGAGTGCCTTGCCAGTCAACAGGGTTCATGTGGACAGATAAAGGCACATTCCACTGCCATGTAAAAATAAGTTCAAGAAAGAAAGGAAGCCAGTAAGATGGTTGAGGGCAGTGGTTCTCAACTTTCCTAACCCTGTGACTCTTTAATACGGTTCCTCATGTTGTGGTGACCCCCCCAACCATAAAATGATTTTCACTGCTACCTCATGGCTGTGATTCTGCTACTGTTATGAACTGTAAATATCTGTTTCCCCTAGTCTCCGGCATGACCCTTGGTCATCGTTCAACCTCCAGAGGGTTCACGACCCACAGGTGGAGAACCACTGGTTTAGGTGGTAAAGACCCTCGTTGTACGAGCCTGAGTTCAACTCCTCCATCCCACGGAGGAAGGGAAGGGCGTACCTCCTCAAAGTTGTTCTCTGACCCCCACTTGGACATCAACATCCATTTGTACTTAAAAAAAAAAAAAAAAACAATCTGCCAGGTGTGATTGAGCACACCTTTAATCCCAGCCACGTGGGAGGCAGAGGCCGGTGATCTCTGGGCCTGCCTGGTCTACAGAGTGAGTTCCAGGACAGCCAGGGCTATGTAGGAAGACCCTGTCTCACCCACACAAGCACACTTTTTTCCCCCCAAAAGAGGAGAAGGCCCACTAAGAATGTCTGCATTTAGGGACCAGCATAATGAGCAGGAAGACAGGCAAAGGGAAAACACACAGGGCCCTGGAGCGCCTACAGCACGACATCATTTTAATGTCCGGAGCTGCTAAAACTCACACACTGCAATTAAAATAGTGTAAACGAACACAAGGCCCACTGCAGTTAAGCCTAGAGTGAAGAACGTCTTCAACAAGCCACACTTTACAGCAGCCACAAAATATCCCCTCAGGCTGGGAGAAGCCTCACTCTACAATTTAAAACACTTCCTTCTGCCAGTTTAAAGAGAGAGAGAGTCTTCACTTCAGCTACGGCCAGGCCAGTCCACTCCCCGAGGCTTCCTAGGGCCACTGAGTCACCCAACCCTTTCGACTGTAAAAAGGTAAAATGTTTTCTAGGCTACTGGCAAGTCTAAATTTACCTTAAAATTTTTAAAATGAGACCTTAGTCATCTGTTGGGGTGACATCAATTATTCTTCCAAAAAGAGAACCCCAGGTGTTTACTCTGTGTGTGTGTGTGTGTACACATACACATATGTGTATACATACACAGGGCAACATGCATACAAGAGTGTGGAGGCCAGAGGAAAACCTCTCGGGTGTTCCCACCTCGGGTGTACCTTGCCTCCTCGAGGGCAGTCCACCTTGTTTTATGAGTCCCTCACAGGCCTGCAGTTCACCCACTTGGCTAGACTGGCTGGCTGGTGTACCCAGGCAGCCTCCTGTCTCCCCAATGGCATCCCTGGCTTTTTACACGCGTTCTGGAGATTGAATGCAGGCCCCCGTGTGTCCACAGCAGGTACCTTACCAACAGGGCTCCGGTCCAGCAACAACTGTTATTGATAACGTATGTTATCATCATATTGTCCTTCCCTGGAGCTGTTCAGAGAGGTGCAGTGATCTGCCTACAATCACACAGCACGAAAGCAGCCAAGTCCAGTCCACAGTCTATGTTACCAAAGGAGCATTCCGCTCCTTAACACTTTATCATAAATACTCCATTTGGTCAGGGGTGGGTGGTTCCCAGAATATTCGCTTGAAACCATGCCAAAATAAACAAATTCATGGCACTGTCAAGTGAGGGGAATAACTAGGTTTGCAAACCAGGTATTTTGGTTTTCGAGTGGTTTCCCTGTTTTCAAATCATGACACCTTCACAAACAAATTACTGCTAGCTAACTTCAATAACACTACCTGGTCTACTCAGGTGGGGTCCGTCGGCCCTCAGTATTTCCATATGGTACTATGGTAAGGACACTTTTACTAAGAAATTGTAAATCCTTCCAGATTAATTTACCTTTCTCCTCCTATTACAATCTCCAGGTTTCAGCTGGGTGTGAGGAGGGCACACGCCTTTTTAATCCCAGCACTCAGGAGGCAGAGGCAGGTGGATCTCTGTTGAGTTCGAGGCCAGCCTGGTCTACAAAGCAAGTTCCAGGACAGCTAGGACTGTTTCACAGAGAAACCCTGTCTCAAAACACCGAATACAACGACAACGACAAAGAAAACAATCTCCACGTTTCTAGGGAGAGGACACATGGGAAGCCAGAGTCACCCACCGCCAGGCTAGTTGACTCACCCCCCACCGATCCCTCCGCTAAATAGCAGTTTGTTTCATTAAATGTCCCACCTACAGAGTTCCAGTAGCTGTTCTGACTGACACAGAATAGTCAGTCACACACGGCAAAGCAGCAGCTTGCAGGCAGAGTCACATGCTGAAAAGCATACCTATCATTTTATTATTAAACTAGAAAGACACTCGGTGACGGCCAACAAAAAAAAAAAAAACGTCTCCCAGGAACTGCAGAGAAGCGGAGACAGGATTGTCCTTTCTCGCGCAGACACGGAATTCTCACTCAGCCAAGAAAGATGGATTTTGTCTCTTAATTCTCTGAAATGGAAAGTACCACATGGATACCACAAACTGGGTAAATTGCATCTCCGAGCAACGTTCTGAGTGCCAAGCTGCAAAGCCCGTGAATACAAGGGGCGTATTAATGGAAAGACTGATACCATGGTACTACAGTGGCCCCTCTGTCGAAGCAGACAATGATCTGTTGAGGGTTTTCCAGGGATTCTGAATGTACAACCTTCTTACAAGCCCCCTTGGAAGGGGGCTGGCGGGGTGCTGAACAATCCCTCTTCGGAAAGCCAGCCAAGAGCCCCTTACACCAGCTTCTGGCAGGAGGAAAAACTAGGCACTGCGGGCATAGGGAAGCTCAGACTTCCCAGACAAAGGACGGAGGTGGGCCAGGGAGAGCTGGATCCGACAGCCCCGGGCTCAGCGCATCAGAGTCAGGACCAGTTGGGAGAGAGGGGGGGAAAGGGAAGTACTACCAAGGGTGAAGTCAGTCACTCCTGCCGCAGGGCAAACCACAGGCGAGGTGTGGAGGAAGATAACCAGAAACATGGGCGGGCACATGCCTTCCAGAGGCTGGGCAGGCCCTGGACTAGGAGAGAAGGGGGGGGGGTCAGCAGTCAGCTCCCAGCCCCCCATTCACTCTGGTGCCAGAAGCAATTTCAGGAACCCAAAGAGGTGGGCAGACAAGCGTGGGGGCACAGCCAGGCACGCCACAGTTCCCCCTCATCCCTCCTTTCCCCCGAAGGCCGGGATGCCTGGAGGAAAGGGATCATCCTCTTGCCGCCCACAGACCGGTTCACAGAACCAGCGAAGGAAGGAACTCTTGAGCCAACTCTGCTAAGGCCGCTCTCACGGGAAGGGGCACTTGGGGAGCCCGGGAGCACGGGGTCCCTGCCCACCTCCAGCCTGGCTGGCTGCGGCCTGGGGCCTCTGAACTTCCGAGGACCCCTCTCGGAATCCCATCCTCAACTCGGCTCCAGATCTCTTGCTTCCCCACACGCCCCTCTAGGAACCGTCCGTCAACTCCGGCTGGCCCCAGATCGCGCCCGCAGGAACCGGCTCCAGGGCCCCGCCGACTTTTCCAACCCTTCCCCTCCAAGCGTTCCCAACACCCGCGCCGAACCTACCTGCCTGCCTGCCTTGGTCCCCCTCGAGCCCTCGGGGAGGCTCAACTGCTGTCCCCTCCCTCCCTCCTCCCTCCCCGGCCACCCACCCAATCTCAGAGCCCTCACTGCCTCTCACGGCCCCAGCCCGGGCCCCCCAGACCCCACACACACGCAATGTCCCGGTTCTAGGCTCCGATCCCCGTCTCAAGCCGGCCCGGGGCCCTCAGTGTGTTCCCCCCCCCAATCCTCTCGCTTCAGGG